CGGGTGCGAGCCGCCCTCGAGAAACTTCCCGCGCTGGAGGTGGTGCCCATCGTGCGCCTGGATAGTTTGAACAGGGAGTTCTTGCACGTGGGGTGGGGCCGGCTTGCGATGCCTGCCGCGAGTTTCCGGGAGACAAAGATCTGGCCCCCCCAGGAGCCTGCGCGCCAGTGGCCCGCCTCGAGCTGGATGGCGGGCGGCAGTTCTTCAGCGGAGGCGCGGTGTCGTTGTGGGTGGGGCTTCCAGCTGGTTGGCGTCGCCGGCGTCGTTGTGGCCGCGTGACCGAGAGGGGCGCCTCGATCCCCCGTGGCATTTCGAAGCGGGCCCAAATCCTGGAAACTATCGTGTCCATCTTTGTGAAGCCCGAAGGAGCGGCTCGAAGTAGTCTGTGAAGCGCGTGTAATTCTTTGAGGTTGAAACATGGAGAAGGCACGTGCGAGCGGAGAGTGTATGCGAGGCAGGTCATGGCGGACGTTGTTGAGCTTGATGGTTGGCTGCAGAGGGGCGCGGGGTTCGCGGGGAATGCGCGTTCGATCCCACCGCTTGCCTGACGGCGTGCTGCCATGGCGTGTAGATCGGTCCGAAGTGGGCTTTGATCGTATTCGTTGCGTCGGGCGTTGGGGGTGTCCGGGTAGGTGCGATGATGTACTTCTTGGGCTGAAGATGCAGTTCAGCGAAGTGTTGGGCTGCTCATTTAGGAAACGGAAAATGATCACTACTACTTGGAGCGGGCTATTTGCTAAAAGGAAACAAGCCTTTTAGTAAAGTGCTGTTGCTCTGTTGCGCGACGACCGCGTCGGCATTGCCGAGCCGCGTCCTGCACTCGCGCTCTGAATCTCCTGTCAAGGAGCATCTTCAAGCCGCTGAAAAGTCCAAGGATCGCCGCGACCCGATGCAGCGCGACCCCGATTATTCGAGCAAATGCATCGCGGGGTGAACTGTTAGGGGAGACAAGGGCCCTCTGCCCCCCGACTGGGCCCTGGCCCCGCATCCCCGAGGCTTTACTAAGGCAGACAACGGACTTTACGAAAGCGAAGATGCTTTACTGAAGCGAGGAAGCGGCTTCACTAAAGCGAGGTATCGGATTCACTAAAGCGAAGAAGCGGCTTTAGTAAAGGCGCGCCGCTCAATGCGTTCCGGGAAGAAAAAAAGAAACGTTGCACTAAAGCAAAAAGAGAGCTTTAGTAAAGTGGAGAGACGGCTGGGGAAAAAAGTGCGCGCGTAAATTTCGCTCCACCCTGGCGCGGGGCTCCGGGAACGAGGGCGGGGCGCAAGTTCGCCCGTGGGCCCGGGCCATGTCGTCGCCGTCGCCGCGATGTTCGTCGCCGACGCCGTCGCCGTTGCCGCCGTCGTCGTCGCCGTCGGCGCAGACGCCGCAGTCGTCGTCGCCATCGCCGTCGTCGTCGTCGCGACGCCCGCGCATTCGCGATGTTGCCAGCGGCGTGTCGCGCGCGACAGCGCGCGCCACTGCGCTAGCATTTCCTCTCCTCCGACGCGGGCCCAGGCGGACATCGTGTTTTTTCTTCCACCCATAACATTCCTAAAGTAATATGGGAAGAATTCCGCCTCTGATATTGTACGGGGGCAGCTTCTCGATGTCTCTGAGCGCGGCGAGGGCGGCCCCCGAGTCGTCGGCGCATGCGCTGATAAGGCCGCGCCCAATGCTGTCGATCTCCCGCTTGCTGTCGCGGGGGATCGGGTCGAATGGGCGCCCGTATTGCGCTGTTGAGAGGGCAGCCTCGGGCCGCGCCCTGCGCTGGACTCGGCGTCGAGGAAGGGCCTCCTGGTGTCGTCGAGCTCGAGGAACGCGGTGGGCGGGTGGTAGCAGGCGCGCGAAAGTCGAATCTCGGTCCGTGGATGCTCCATCGGCAGAGGACCTCCCAGAGCCAGTCGTGCACATGGCAGCAGGAAGGGGCGGCGATGTCCATGCCGGCAAAGCGCGGCGCGGCGTCGGACGCGTCCGCGATGCTGGGCTAGCGGCTAAGCGAGTCGACGGCGACGATGTTGCTCAGGAGCTGCCAGCCGTTTACGAAGCCTTGCTGAGTGGGTGCGGTCTCGGCGGCGACGCGGTGCCGCTTGCGGTTGGCAGCTGATGCGGTATGCTTGATGTCTCAATTTTTTCGTGGCCAGCGGTCTGGGGCATTCGGGCGCGCGGGTGCGCTCGAAGTTGCCGGGCGGCTCGTCGCGCTTCGGGGGCATGGCCATCAATGGGTGGTTCATGTCGCGCGGATGGGCCGCCATTGGCGACGGAGTGCGTGCGATCGGCGAGCGGGTTGAAGCTGCCCGGGGAGATGGGTCTGGCGCGGCAGGGCAGGCCGTCGGGCCCAGGCGCAGTGCGGCCTGCTTGTCGTGATGCGTCGTGGAGGTCTGGTGGTCCGGGGAGAAGGTCGTGGAGTGGTCGGCGTGGGGAGATGCTGGCGAGGCAGCGCTGCGTCATCTCGTGGTCGACGGGCTTGGCGGCGAACGCCTTGCTCCAGTGGTGTTGATTCGCGCTGTGCATGGCCGTCGGGTCGGTGGCCGGGCGGTGCTGATCGCCGGTCGTGATGCGAACGCCAGCGAGGAATCGTTTGGCGAAGGGGTTCCAGAGCTCGCCCCGCCATCCTTCGCGGCGAGCGCGTTGCCGAAATTTCTCGCCCAACTGTCTGTCGTTTTCTTGGGGGGCTGCTCGAGATCAGCTGGCGGCTTGCTGGCGTCTTTCTTCGCTGACGCCAGCGCGGGTGGTTTCCGCGTCGGAAGCGAGGGCGTCGAGTTCGATGACGCGCTGTGTCGTTGGTGATGCTCAAGTGCTTGGCGCCGACTGACGCGCCGGCTGCGAGCCCGCGGACGCGGCGGAAGTGTTGGTGCCGCGCCGCTTTGGCGAAGCTGCGGAAAATTATGGCTCTCGCCTCTTGGATCAAGACGGAGTCGGAGCGTTTGAGTTCCGATGGTGGAACCTTGATCGTGGCGTCGCGAGCTTTCCGCGCCGCCGAGGTCATGCGCTGCTTCATTGCTGTCCACTTCAAGAAAGGATCCATCCAGGTGGGGTCAGTGTCGTCGGCGAAGCGCTGAAAGTAAACAGCGCAGCGTAGTGCGATGGGCCGGTGATCGAGGCAAAGGGTCCGCTCTCTGCAGGTGGTTTCTGAGACCGCAGGCGCAGACGTAGATGGTGTACTGCGCGATCGCTGGCGGGTTCACTCGTCTTCTCTAGAGGGGGGCTGTCGACGGGGGGCAGAGGCTCGAGGTGAGGGATGTTGTTGGCGTCGGTCGAGATGGAGCAGCGGTGCATGCTGGATTCTGCCGAGTTGTCTCAGCGGCGGTGGGTGGGCGAGCGCGCGGGGACTTCCGCGACCGAGCGGCCTATGATGCGGCGTTCTGCGCGCAATGCTCGGCTGTGCAACCTGGAACAATGGGGCGCAATTCGCGATGGCAGCGCTGTGGTTCGGGGGGGCGGGGCTCGTATCTGTCGACCACCAGTGGTTTCCGAGTCGCCGTCGAACGCCGAATGGAAAGACGCGCAGTGGTGTCGGGTAGATTCAGCAAAGATCTGAAGGTCGGAAGCGTTGCCGTGGGTCTTTGTGATCGCGAATGCAGCTCTCCAGCGCCTGCGTGGGTGAGAACGGCCATGCTGGCAGACCTCCTGGCGGCAGCGCGACCGAGTTGAGCTGGTGAGTTCCGGGGTGGCGAGTCGTTGGGTGGTTCAGTGCGCCAATGCGACCGCCAGCTGCTAGATCCGCTGCGCTGAAGCCATTGCGCCCACGAAGGCAGCTGCGAGTTTGTCTCCGAGTTGAGCTTGGGCATGATGAAATGCCCGCAGGGCTAGCGACATCGCGCCACCGAGCCGTCGAAGGGCCCAGCGCGGAGCCGCCAACTGAGACCGCGACGACGGGGGCGCCGTCGAGCGAGAGGTAGCCCAGGGAGAGACGGACTCTCGGCGAGATGAGCGGAAACTTGGCGGTGATGAGCTTCCCAAGCTTTGTGAGCTTCTAGGCGAAGAATTTCCGGCGATTTGCCAGCGGAAACGAAGAGAAGGGTTGATCCGTCCACCGTGGCGGGTTGAAGGATCTCCAGTCTTGTCAAAGTCGAAAGGCTGTGTGTAGCTGAGTAGCGCGAGGGCCAGCAAGCACGTCGCCGCCATGGAATATAAACCACATTCATTTTGCATGCGAATTTTAATTGATCGTGATGGAGTGGAAGTCGACTTGAGCAGCAACCGGCCGCTCCGTGAAAGAAGCCTTGGGCGAGGTGGTGTTGAACTCGGATATGGTGCCGCGCCAGAAAGTGCCGTGGCGTGGGTCTCTGTTCCAAGCGTCGAGGAAATCGATCTTGACTACGGGATGCATGGCTTCAGCGGTCGCCAGAGTGCGCTTGATGGCGGGGGCGGAATCGGATAAGTCCTCGCCGAGCTTCTCGGCAACGTTAGCACGTCGCCTAACTTCAGCAATGTCGCGTTTTCATATGTCGGCCGACGAGCTCTGCGGTAGTCTCTGTGATGGAGGCGATGAAGTGGTATTGGGCGTCAGATGTGATCTGCTTGGCAGTCATCTCGCAAGCCGCGGCAACTGCATCCATTTGTCCTTGTCGCAGATCTTGACGACCTTATGCGAGGATGGATTGGAATGGGTTGTGCAGCAAATTTGGCAGCGCCAAATGCCCATGGGGCGGATTCGCGGTGACTTTAATTGCCAGCGAGCGATTGCAGTGCTATCCCCCACGCGGTCCTTGAGATCCTCCGAAGAAGGTCGCATGTGGCGCTCTTTTAAAAAACCTCCCATGACAATTCGGCTGGGTACATTGACGGGGGGGCCGCGCAACCCGTGGGAGTGAGCGCGTCGATGTGGAAGGTGAGGACAAGACACTTCCTGACCGTGCCCCGGACCAGCGGTATCCGTGGAAAGCCAATGGGCGCTGTGCCCGCACACATGACGTCTTAAGCCAAAATGGCTACGGATGAGGAGAAAACGGCGTGCGTCGAGGATCCCCCTCGCAGCGTGGGCGAGGGGGGGAAGGCTGTGCAGGGCGCGCGCCTTCACAAGCGTCAACAGCTGCGGCACGGCGCGGAACACCTTCGTGAGCCGCAGCAGCCGCAGGACCCGCAGCACCTGACAAGGGCGACCCCGCTTCTCGTCCTCCTACTCTTCTCCCCCCCTGCATCCGTCTCCTTCTCCTCTTCTACTCCTCTTCCTCTTCCTCTTTTTCCTCATCTCGTTTCCGTTTCTCTTCTCCTTCCTCCTCCTACTCCATCGGCCTTCCTATTGCCATCCTCCTCTCCTCAGGCTGGTGGTGCTGTCGGGGTGATCCTCGATGCCATCGACCCCTTTTTCACCCTCGCCCTCCTCTCCCCTCCTCCTCTCTCCTCCTCCTCCCCCTCCTCCTGCTCCTCCTCCAGCTGGTCGCGGGTGTGGCGCCGCCTCCTCCTCCTCCTCCTCCTCGTCCTCCTCCTCCTCCTCCTCCTCTTCCTCCTCCCTCCCTCCCTCCCTCCCTCCCTCCCTCCCTCCCTCCCCCCTCCCTCCTCCCTCCCCCCCTCCTCTCCCCTTCCTCCTCCTCCTCTCCTCCTACCTCCTCCTCCCTCCTCCTCCTCCAGCTGGTCGCGGTGTGGCGCCTCCTCCTCCGTCCTCCTCCTCCTCCTCCTCCTCCTCCTCCTCCTCCTCCTCCCTCCTCCTCCCTCCCTCCCTCCCTCCCTCCCGCCCTCCGTCCCGCCCCTCCCTCCCTCCTCCCCCCCTTTCCCCCCTTCCCTCCTCCTCCTCCCCTCCTCCTCCTCCTCCTCCTCCTCCTCCTCCTCCTCTCCCTCCTCCCCTCCTCCTCCTCCTCCCCCTCCTCCTCCTCCTCCTCCTCCTCCTCGTCCTCCTCCTCCTCCTCCCCAATGACAGGAGGCTGGCGTCGCTCGGTTTCGCTGATCGGGCCGCCGCCGAAGCCCTCGGCGCTTGCGTGAGCGAGCGCCAGGCGGCGAGAACCCCGCGAGCAACCCGACTCGTTTGAGCTCGCTTGCAGTTTGATTGGATCCATGTTGGCGGATGCGGCCAGAAGCTCGGAGCCGCCTGTGGGGCTGGAGTGGTCCAGCACTGGCTTAAGGCCAGAGGAGAGGGGGGAGAAAAGGCCCCCCTCGTCGCCCCGGCTGGACGCGGCTCGAGCACTTGTCAGTCTCGACCACCGGGATGGGCCAGGGCACCGATTTTGAGCGGAATGGCCTCCGTCCCCCCCGCTTGACCGATCCTCTCGAGCCCAGCCAGCGCGGACCCCCCGGCCGCTTCCACCACCCAACCAGTTATGCCGGGTGCCGCAGCCGAGTGCGTGGCCGCCGGCTCGCTCGCATGCAGCCCGCTCGGGCACGAAGGCTTTCGACTAGTGGCTCGTCGTCGTCGTCGTCGTCGTCGCCGTCGCCGCCGCCGTCGTCGTCGTCGTCGTCGTCGTCGTCGTCGTCGTCGTCGTCGTCGTCGTCGTCGTCGTCGTCGTCGTCGTCGTCGTCGTCGTCGTCGTTTCCGGACCCCCGACGCGGTGTCTGTCGCACGTGGGCCCCCGGACGTCTCGACCCGTTTCCCAGAACTGGCCTGTCATTCCCACCAATCTTTTCAGGGAGGCCCTGCAGAGGCCCCGGGAGGCCGAGCATGGCTGAAAACCGCCCGTCGTGATTTGTCACGACTCGAGGTGGTCTGGGAAACTTGATGACGATTGACTCGTCGTCGTCGTCCTCCTCCTCCTCCTTCTCCTCCGCCGCCTCCCAGGCCCAGCTGCTGACCACTGCGCAAGAGCAGTGAGATGAGGAGCAGCATTCGGGGGGCACCTGCTCAAGGTGGGGAACGGTTGACCCGGAATCGGCGACACATCGCCGACAGCTCGGCGATGGCCCCCTGGTGGCGCATGCGCACGCTCCATGACGGGGTGGGCTACTGGGCCCATCTCGGCTATCAGTGGGCCATTGGGGGCCGATGCGTCTCTCCCCCTTGAACCCACGGCCGGGGAAACTTTTCGATGGCGTGCTCTCGGCGGCGGCCGCTGGGCGGGAGGACGAGAAGAGCTCGAGATGTCGACGCATGGGGACGGGGAACTGGATAGCGTTTTGCGCCGAAGCGGATGGGCCCAAACTGGTGCAGCGACACGCCAGCCCGAATTTCCCGACCGTGTCCCCCCCTAACGCTGCCCCTGCATGGGCCAGGGGAGAGGCACCGAAAGGCTGCTGCCCAGGTCCGGCGGATCGTCGTTGTTGCTCACAAGCAGCACGATCGGGAGCGCGACGTTCTCCAGCAGCATGAGCAACACGAGCAGCCTCGGGCCCATCTCTGGAGGCCAAGGACACAAAGCCGACTCAGGTTCAGGTCCGTTTCGGCTGTCGGCCCGTTTCGGCTTCAGCCCGTTTCGGCCTCGGCGAGTTTCGGCTCGGCCAGTTCCGACTCGGGCTGGCGGAGCCGAAACGAGTCCGGACGAAACGGGCCGGAGCCGAAACGGGCCGAAGCCGAAACAGACCGATGGAGCCGAAACGGGCGAAACGGGCCGAAGCCAAAAGCGGCCTTTTCCCAAAAGAGGGGGTGGAGGCTGTGGGCTGTGAGTGCGAAGGAAGTGGTGTTGACCATAGCGGGATACAAGTGGATCAGCAGGGTTAGGAAGTGACTGCTGGGAGGCCTTCGTGAAACGACGAATGCCTAGTAAGTCACATTCAAGGGCCATGGGACCAGATTAGGTCAAATTGAACGGAATTAAGCCCAACTCGGCGGGATAAAGCTTGATTCAGCGGGATCCTGTAGGATGCCGCCGGTGTTCGACCACGGAAATACCAGCGCCGATGCTGAACAAGTGGCACGTGTGCCATGGCTCTTGCACAAAAAGGAAGGGGGAGGAGGAGGATGTGGAGGAGGAGGGGGGGGGGAGAGGATGCCAGACATCGCAGAAGGAGTGAACAAAACAGGGCCGCAAGAG